CGACCTGAAGAAATTCGCTGGAAAAATGTTAATGAACATCGCATAAAGGGGAAGTCAATGGCGAAGCCTTAGAGAGGCTTTCATCTGGCAGAGTATCGACGAAGGATGATGATCATGACGAAAAGTTAAAGAAGATCACTGTACTGTGGACGCACATGATCTTCACCTAGCATAAATCTACCGTGTTTACCGTAACCAGCTAGCATAATCTTCGCCATTAAATCAAGATTAATTCCTTTAAAAGTGTGTTTTGATTCTGGGGCATGATTCATCGACAAAGTGCTTCACTGATATATGTATATGAAAACCAAGTGCTGAACAGAGATTACAAAATCAAATTAACAGAGGCGCATTTATTTGGCAACATCGATAACATCATTAGTAAACTCATAATATCATAGTAGTTATTGCTCATGTATACATTACCACGGATAGAGGCTACCGACTGGTGTTAAAGCATGCCTTTATTCCAGAGAACACAGTGATGCGGTTTTGCCAAGCAGTCATGGTCTGCTTAAAGTGACTCCACCAAAGCGAATCCAGAAAAGCCAGAGAATATTTTCATTTAACTTATTTAACTGAGTGCCGCAAATACTTCCTCTGAATTGATACTAAGTATTTTATCCTCAGTGGTAGCATAAACTGGATTTGAGGCAAAAACAGGATTATATTTTGCAGCATGTAAATGAGAGCAGGTTGTCATTTATAATTATCAGTATTTAATGACTGAATGATGATCAATAATAAGTATTTCTTCGTTTGTTTTCAATGCTCGTTATTGGCTTTGGGTCAAGAAATCCGTTGCTTCAGGAAGTCTTTCCAAATGTCTGTCGCCAAATGTACTATTTCTGTGATTTGGGTTATAAAACGTGACAAGTAAGGCCTTCGGCATATTAAAACAATGTACTCTGCCCCGGGGCCACTTTTCGGACAAGTCTCGCCAGTGTCATCTTCGTCATATGTTCAGATTATCGCAAGTGTCATCTCTCGTCGTAGAGAACTAGTGATCCAATATCTATGGCATCTTTAACATTGGCTATGCCGCAAGAGACATTTGAAAACATTAAAATAAGGTAAGTTTGTTCTTTTCAATCATGCTCACCTTCAACCCTTTCCCAGCTCGAACAGAACTCTACAAGAGGACGCATCTTATCTTTCCAGCCAAAAACTGAGACAGACGGAATTGAATGAGCAATTAATTGTAAATAATATTATGCCCTACCATTAACCTCTTGTGTATACGAATCTATTGGCCTGACGGCCACAAAATAATGATGTGTAAAGATACGGTTTGCTGATAGCAAGAGTTGTTGCGCAGACTAATAAACCTGCCTTCAAATCACCTGATCTGGCGGTGCCAGCTGTGAAGATATGTTATGAACTCGGAAACAGACAACGACATTGTAAAATTAAGAAGTGTTTGGAACGCCACACACTTTTTATGAAGACGAACTCTTATCATAAAATAAAATCGTAATTCCTAAGCTAAAAGCTGATCGTGTTTGAATAGCCATCTGACTTGAAAATGTAAAGAGGAAAAAACCAGGGAAAGCGGTTCAACTCTCTTCAAAACCAGAGAGAAGCAAGTCAGGGGCTGAACTGATCACAACAACTGTGGCAACTATATGAAACTTTAATCCATTAATCTACATCAGATCATGAATGTATCAGTCATACGTTAGTTTACAGTTTGATCATATTTACCTTCAAACAGTTCACTTTTGGAAATTCAGGAGGAAATCGCAATTTTTTGAGGTTGGTCAGCACTTTTATCCTCTCCATTTCCGTATGGAATGGAAGTAAGAGTTCAGCGAAAATCAGACCCAACGCGAAAATGTCTACTTTAGACGTGTACGAGTCACTGGATTCCTGACAAAGACAGAACTTGAACTTTTAACGCTCGCTGTCATTTAATGATCTTTTGTGCTCACCTGCTCCGGACTCATGTACAAACCCGTACCAACGTTTTTCGTATGCCATCTGCTCAGTTTCATGCAGTTCAGCTCGTCATCCTTGCTGCTGCTCGAGAACACTTCAGTCGCCAAACCGAAATCTCCTATTTTGACATGATCATCCAAGGAAAAGAATATGTTGGTGGGCTAAAAGAAAAATTGTGCACAAACTGACAGACGAAAAACAAAATTTGAATGACGCAACACTGCAAAGAATACAGCATCAGCTTGAAGCCATAATATTATAACGCTTTACGGGTGCTAAAACATTTGCGCCGATGCAACGAACCATGTATGCTACTCGAACCAAAACCAACTCCCATCAATAGGTACTAGGAACATGTATATCGTTGCAGCCAGGTACTACATTATCATGGAAACTTCGCCACCTTCAATTACATCTCGAGTCCCTAAAAGCAAGTCGGTGAGATACTGTTATATACATGGTGCGATGACATGTATGAGTCCCTTTCTACAGCACTACTGATATAGACTAATTTTAGTTGGTTTCAAACCAACACTCATAAATGACTCAGAATGCTGAACCGATGACATGAAACACCGGCCAGATCACACTTTCGATAGTCACCTCTGCTGGACGTACCATTGTGTGCAATTTAATGAATCACTGACTAAAATTAATGTATTAATAATCCAAAGATATATTTTTTAACTCGATATAAACTGCAGCGTGTGAAGTAAAACTTTCTGGCTACAAATGCGAACAAAGGTACTGGGAACTGTCGTCCGTATTAGCTCTATGGAAGCAAAACGCAATCATTTCACTATGCTGTATATTCCGGAAGGAAGGGCGGCGATTACTGACAATATAGAAGGATTGCCTAACAACAACCGATAAAAAATATTAATAAAGAAAAAACATTTCTCCACCACTAAGAAGGCTGAAATCTCAGAATTTCAGAGTTCAAGCATAGCTTTTCTTAGCATATTGGCATCATCATCCCTTTAAAACATATTTCATTGTCACCAGGTTTAAAACAGGCAAAGATGGGTAGAAATTCGTTATAACAGCGGCCAACAGCCGTCTTTGGACCCGCTGTCTGCGCTCTTTTGCTTCGGAGCTGCATCAATGGTCTTGTAAGTAAACTCCGTAAAATAAGCTACCACACACTTACATGCAAATGTTATGTATCAATAATACACATAAATTTATTTTTAAAAATTTATTATGCTCTTAACCGATACAGTATTTTACACTTAGGATTTGGTAACGCTTAAAGCGAATGACTTGTTCAACAGGTGGAACGTTTACATTTCTCCTTTTCTCTGTACGTTGTGGCCGTGTGGACGTAAGATCCGTTGATGACAAATGCAAATTAATCCAATACAGCGACGAGTAACATTTGCAAAACAGGATGTCATCAAATGCTATAAACAAATGCTTTGAAAAACTTTAAACTAGAGATCTGAGCTACGCAAATCCAACGACAAAGACCTATCCACAGTGACTGAGCCGCAGACAAACTGATGGCGTGAATCGACACGTGGATTAAATATTTGCAAGATTTTTGCAGGTTCCGTAAGAAATGAAGATTATAATTTAAATTCCTCTTCTTATCCAACTGCATTGAAGACAACGCCAGGTGTCGTACAAGCAGTCTAAATGCATCGAATAAACAGACGCTCACTCTTCAGTCCTTTAGATGTCACGCCAGATGTAACGAAACCTTTCCATTTTGTTCGAGGTCTCCTTGGACGGCTGCCTGCCAGCCGACTCTGCGTTCGGTGCTCGTTTCGAAATGCGGCTAACATCGATTCGTTGGCAACGGTCCAACCATATTAAACGTGTTGTTTGAGG